AACATCGACAAGCTCTTGGTGACAGTCTTTGTGCAGCTATGATTGGTTGCGCTAATCGTTTACATCGCACGTCCCAACGCCAGTACAGACCGGTGAGACTGAAGTTTGTTTGTGAAAAAATCAAACGAAATATTTTCCTAAGAAATGTAATCTGTCATAACGAAGTAATTGCCTTTCACAAACAAAGTCTAAAACAGGTCCTACGATAACAAGGCGTCCCTAGGCTTAACGAGGCATCAGATATGACCATTGCACTTATGAAGAATATAAGACGAGGTGTTTATGATTAAATCTGTATTTACAATGCTCTTTAAAATTTATGTGGCTAGCATCACGTGGTATCATTTTACTGCCTGCTTTTTGCTAGAGCCAAGCGTGGGATGGTTGGTAAGGGAATACAAGGCGGTTACAATATTCGCTGTGTTCAGCTGTGAATACCTATCGTTATTATTTGTTTAATTGTGTCTCCCAGTGCATACGACAAAAGCACACACATATACACACACATCATCGCCATCCTAGTCACACCACGCCCATAGCACCACATACATATCTCCACACCCCACGCCACACCACATCACATCATGCACTGCACACCACATATGTTTCCACACACCGCACCGCACACCAGAACACCAAAGCATCCATTTAACACCAGATAGGTTTTCACAGGCCACACCACACCACACCACACCACACCACACCACACCACACCAAATCGTGCACATATGGCTTGACACGCCTGACCACGTTACATCGCACCGCACTGCACCGCAACACAACGCAACGCAACGCAACACAACACAACACAACGCAACACAACACAACGCAACGCAACGCAACACAATACAACGCACACAACGCTCCAGACCACATCATACCATTCACATAACACAACACATATTTTCACACACCACACCGCACCGCACCGCACCGCACCGCACCGCACCGCACCGCACCGCACCGCACCGCACCGCACCGCACCGCACCGCACCGCAACGAGACGCAACGCAACGCAACGCAACGCGACGCAACACTCCAGACCACATCATACCATTCACATAACACAACACATATTTTCAAACACCACTCCACACCACGCCACGCCACGCCACGCCACGCCAAATCAAGCATTTAACACCACACATATGTTTTCACACGCCACACCACGCCACAATATCACACAGCACACCACAGCACACCACAGCACAGCACACCACAGCACAGCACACCACAGCACACCACACCACAACACAACACAACACAGCACAACACACCACACCACACCACAACACAACACAACACAGCACAACACAGAACAGCACAGCACAGCACAGCACAGAACAGCACCACACCACACCACACCACACCACACCACACCACACCACACCACACCACACCGCATACGTATATTCACACCAAATCCCACATCACTAGAAGATTTTGTACCCTAAACTGTAAACCGGCCGGTGCTCTCCAGTGAATAGACGTATTTCTCTGGATTAGGTTCGACATTCAATATCTCGGAATATAGTTTCCGGACTAACGAGGTTTGGTAATAGCGGACGTCCTGTAACAATACAAAAACTGAGATATGATTGAACAATTGCACTGAATGTCTTCCACTTATAAATATTGTTCGCACAGTTTGACAAAACGAAAGTTAATCTCAAAGATAGTTTTAATACACTAAGTAAGAAAACATTGAATTACAGTTTTGTTCAGCAATATGACGAGATTATACTGCAGATACCAGCTTATATTTAATTATCAACTGCTGGTTTTAAATCAAGCTTTATGGCCGATCATATACGACTTTGTCTGAAGAAACATCCCCTATAGTCGACCATTACCTTAATACGCTATCATGTTCTTAATTGATATGTCGAGACCGCTGTGTTGACGTTTTGTGGGGAGGAACAATAGAATCAACTATGTAGGACATTCTATAAAACCACACGGGGTGGCGTATTTCTCGGTGCCTGATAGCTGGTAGGGGCCAAGCAGGCAACAGGGAGAATTTCATTACTATTCATCTCTTAGGAGAAAGCTTTAAGTAACCCCAGTGATTTATCAAACACGAGAGCGACTACAACTGTGTTCCCACGCTCCCCTCGCCCCGCGCCGTGAGCTGTTTTGCGGGTCTATCATACACTTATCGCAACAGGTATTTGAAAAGCACTTCAATGGGCGCTTTCGGTATGAGGCACTCGACTCGCCTTGGCCGATGCACGTACACATATGCTGAGGGTTGATTTCGTATCGTGTCTGTTGATTTGCAGTCTTAATACTAACCTTGCTCAAGTTTTATTACATTTGTTTATATTTAATTTCAATGAAACTACCAGTCAGCAATTTACCGTGAAGATCCAGGTTAGAATAGGACTATGTTTGCCGTAAGAGACTACTATGCTCGTCGTAAGAGGCGACTAACGGGATCGTGTGGTCAGACTCGCTGACTGGGTTAATGCATCTTATTGCATCCCATTGGATATTGGATCGCCCTCTACCAACACCTTCCCAGCATCGTCCAACCTTGGTCACAATTTGATTTTAGTTTTGTTTAATGTTTAAATGCTACATCCATCCCATTCTTTAATCCAGCAATACATCTGTCATACCATCCGTATAAGAGGTATGCGTGGATCGGAATTTATATAAAAACGTGCCAGAAACAGGATTGACAGAGGCGAGAACTGTTCCATTGAAGAGTAATTGAGCTGAGGTCAACACCGCTTCTACATAGTTCTGGAAAATAGAGGATTCAAACTCACGACCAACAGTTAATGAGGTATCTTGCCAATAAGAAATCATTATAGATTAAAATCAGCAAATTATTAATAGTGTACCTATTATTATTAGTGTTAGCAGTCGTAATGGGGGTATTGAATGAGTCAGTTATATCACAGAGTGTCGGCTTGATGGGGGAGGAAATCCCGAAGTGATGCAGGTCTTAGATGTTTATCACTTCGGTGAAACTCACAAGCACGGTATGCTGGCAAACCTAGAAACATAATCGGGGCGAACCGGGATTCGAACCCACGATCATAGGTTTCTGGCTCGCCCAAGGGACGCAACTCTGCACAGCGAATCGCGGCGCCTAAGACGACCGGACCACCCGTCGTATGGCATGAGGACTGCTATGCGGCGTACGGCAACACACAAACACTTACTTTATTTGTTGTTTAACGCCGCACTCAGCAATATTCCAGCTATATGACGGCGGTCTGTAAATAATCGAGTCTGGACCAGGCAATCCAGTGATTGATATCATGAGCATCGATCATCGCAATTGGGATCGATGACATGCATCAACCAAGTCAGCGAGCCTGGCCATCCGGATCTTCACAGTAGTTGTAGTAGTTGTAGTAGTAGTAGTAATAATAGTTGTTGTATGATTGACCGAAAATAAAACAGGATCTAGGTACACATTGTAGACTGCTTTTGGCGAAATCCTCACTGAAAAATTCACTGCTGACAATAGGAACGATTTGCTTCATGGGCGAAGAGGCGTTTGTCTGTATAGTCAACTAATGTGTGTATTTACGTGAGTGAGTGAGTGAGTTGGGTTTAACGCTGCTTTTAACAGTATTCCAGTTATATCACGGTGTGTCAGCTTAATGTGGGAGGAAAACCCGAAGTGATGCAGGTCTCAGACGTTTACCACTTCGGTGAAACCCACGAGCACAAGTATGGTACTGACAAACCTAGAAACATAATCGGGGCGAACCGGGATTCGAACCAACAATCATAGGTTTCTGGCGTGCCCAAGGGACGCAACTCTGCACAGCGAATCGCGGCGACTGGGCCACCCGTGCCCCCTGTGAATTTACGAATTTTAGACATACACAAATACGCACTGTATGCTTGATAGTAAATAAACAACGTCTCCATTTGCTGTAGTCAAAACAAGCATAGTGTTGCGAGTATCCACATCCGAATACATGTGTCTATCGGCAACCATATCATGTCCATATGTGTGTGAGTGCGTGTTCGCGTGCGTGCGTTCGTGCGTGCGTGCGTGCATGTGCTTGCGTGATTGTGTGAACATGCCTACCTGTCTTATTTTGTACTAATCATTGTAACAAATCATATTTTAATATTTCATCAAAAGTCTAATGTTTTACAAGCTGTATATATGCAAAAAAGTGTATGCATTTATTGTATTTCAAATTTGACAGTTTAATAAACTACTCACTCACGCACTTTGTATCATACACTATTGTAAAATATAACACAATGATATTCAGCTGGGGAAATTCGAGAATCTGTGCAGACAATATGACTTGAGGTTGTCCCTTCTTCAGGTGTATCCTGGGTACAATTCTAAAATTACTGAATAAATACAAGTAAGACAGATTCGAAAATCATATATCTTTTCTAAAACTAAGTATTTGATTCTCACAGAAAATGTCATCTGTAGATTATATTTGATATAGCTACGACGTTTGAAGGAAAAGTCGGATTTTTCATTGAGGTTTCTATATTCACAGGGGCGGTCGGGTAGCCTAGTGGTTAAAGCGTTCGCTCGTCACGCCGAAGACCCGGGTTCGATTCCCGACATGGGTACAGTGTGTGAAGCCCATTTCTGGTGTCCCCCGCCGTGATATTGCTGGAGTTTTGCTAAAAGCGGCGTAAAACCGTACTCATTCACTCACTATATTCACAAAATACGTTTGCAAATACAAAGTACTCCGAATGCGACTGGAGAGGGAATGCGACGTAACTTCAGATACCCGAGAACTCTACCACTCAAACGACCGAGGAAACAATTATGTCCTTCTGTATCCAGGGGGCGCGGTTTTCCCACAGCCCTGTAATCATCTGGTCGCGTGCCATGGGTTCGCCCCGTCACGCGCGAGGCGTCAGGCGCATGCCTGAGACACTGAGTGGCGTAACGCCGACTGAGGTGTTGTGCCTGACCAATCAGAATCCTCGGAATGACGGCAGGCGGAGTTACTGCACGTTGATTGACGTCAAAGATAACATGAAGATTTCTTGTGCGTTTTAAGAAAACGACACTTCGTTATCTATCTTATTGACTTTGTTTTCGTCAGGAGGAACATTCCATGTGACAGTAGCTCTCGCCCATTCTTGCACATAACGATGCATTCCGACAGCACGAAAACACCCGGGAATGAACCACGAGACAGGAAAGTGAGTACTTCCTACACTACACTATAACAAAAACGTACAGACAGGTCATGTATGAGACAGGCTGCAAGTAGAATATATTTAAACGCATATATATAGATATAGACAACGTCTGTCTATGCGAAATGAAGATGTGTTTGCATATATCACAGGGTAATCGTTTTGTAACATTTAGTCGTCTTCTTTCTATTAGAGCACGAAACCCATGATGGAGAAGAGGCGAAGGGCGAGAATCAACGCCTCATTGGCTGAACTGAAGTCTCTTTTGTTGGAAGCAATAAAAAAAGAAGTAAGTCATTTTCAAAAAAAGGTAAACGGACATACACGACCGTGTAATCAATTACTTAGTGTCTTGACCACGCTTTATGTTTGTTTGATTGGTGTTTAACGCTGCACTCCAGCTATAAACAATTATTCCAGCTATATGACGAATAATAGAGTCTTGACCAGACAATCCGGTGATTGACATCATGTACATCGACCCATGCAATTGGGATACGATTACATGCATCAGCCAAGTCAACGGGCCTGACCACCCGATCCCGTTAGTCGCTTCTTACGATAAGCACAGTCGCCTTTTACGACAAGCATGCTGAAGACCCGGTCTACCCCGGATCTTCACGGGTCTGACCACACTTTAAGTAAAAAGCAGTTAATTGATGTAAAATCAGTACTATTCACAACACGCATGTGATATATGCTGATACAATATTTATTAAGGTATGGTAAAGGCTGTACACATTACTAAAGAGTGTCCTTAGAAGTTTATGATGAATACACACTGTGACTATATCACCTGGTAGGGAATTCTATTATATGTTTGCCATTTTCACATTTAATGTGGTGAGTATGGCTAGATTAATGAATAAGGGACATGATGAAATATGAAAATTAATGTTTACACTTTACATAGCCCTGTATAACTGTAGATGGTTAGTAGTGAGTATGGCTAGATTAATGAATAAGGGACATGACGAAATATGAAAATTAATGGTTACACTTTACATAGCCCTGTATAACTGTAGATGGTGAGTAGTGAGTATGGCTAGATTATTGAATAAGGGACATGATGAAATATGAAAATTAATGTTTACACTTTACATAGCCCTGTATAACTGTAGATGGTGAGTAGTGAGTATGGCTAGATTATTGAATAAGGGACATGATGAAATATGAAAATTAATGTTTACACTTTACATAGCCCTGTATAACTGTAGATGGTGAGTAGTGAGTATGGCTAGATTAATGAATAAGGGACATGACAAAATATGAAAATTAATGTTTACACTTTACATAGCCCTGTATAACTGTAGATGGTGAGTAGTGAGTATGGCTAGATTATTGAATAAGGGACATGACAAAATATGAAAATTAATGTTTACACTTTACATAGCCCTGTATAACTGTAGATGGTGAGTAGTGAGTATGGCTAGATTAATGAATAAGGGACATGACAAAATATGAAAATTAATGATTACACTTTACATAGCCCTGTATAACTGTAGATGGTGAGTAGTGAGTATGGCTAGATTAATGAATAAGGGACATGACAAAATATGAAAATTAATGTTTACACTTTACATAGCCCTGTATAACTGTAGATGGTGAGTAGTGAGTATGGCTAGATTATTGAATAAGGGACATGACAAAATATGAAAATTAATGTTTACACTTTACATAGCCCTGTATAACTGTAGATGGTTAGTAGTGAGTATGGCTAGATTAATGAATAAGGGACATGACAAAATATGAAAATTAATGTTTACACTTTACATAGCCCTGTATAACTGTAGATGGTGAGTAGTGAGTATGGCTAGATTAATGAATAAGGGACATGATAAAATATGAAAATTAATGTTTACACTTTACATAGCCCTGTATAACTGTAGATGGTGAGTAGTGAGTATGGCTAGATTTATGAATAAGGGACATGACAAAATATGAAAATTAATGTTTACACTTTACATAGCCCTGTATAACTGTAGATGGTTAGTAGTGAGTATGGCTAGATTAATGAATAAGGGACATGACAAAATATGAAAATTAATGTTTACACTTTACATAGCCCTGTATAACTGTAGATGGTGAGTAGTGAGTATGGCTAGATTAATGAATAAGGGACATGACAAAATATGAAAATTAATGTTAACACTTTACATAGCCCTGTATAACTGTAGATGGTTAGTAGTGAGTATGGCTAGATTAATGAATAAGGGACATGATAAAATATGAAAATTAATGTTTACACTTTACATAGCCCTGTATAACTGTAGATGGTGAGTAGTGAGTATGGCTAGATTAATGAATAAGGGACATGACAAAATATGAAAATTAATGTTTACACTTTACATAGCCCTGTATAACTGTAGATGGTGAGTAGTGAGTATGGCTAGATTAATGAATAAGGGACATGATAAAATATGAAAATTAATGATTACACTTTACATAGCCCTGTATAACTGTAGATGGTGAGTAGTGAGTAGGGCTAGATTAATGAATAAGGGACATGACAAAATAGGAAAATTAATGTTTACACTTTACATAGCCCTGTATAACTGTAGATGGTGAGTAGTGAGTATGGCTAGATTAATGAATAAGGGACATGACAAAATATGAAAATTAATGTTTACACTTTACATAGCCCTGTATAACTGTAGATGGTATGCGGTGTTTTCGCGAGACTAGTCTTCAACAAAATGCCCCTTTGTGCTTCGCCGTACTTTCCCACGCAGCCCCACTTCCACCGTGAGCTGGTGGCAGCCACGCTTGACCTTCTTCATGATGTGTGTCTTTTTGCCTACCAGGGAGCACGACACAGCAAAATGGAGAAAGCTGACATCCTTGAAATGACAGTGAAGCATCTGAGACAAATGCAAAGACATCATTTTACAGGTGAGCTCCTCGGCGAGATCAAAGACGAGGATCACGTGACCAAAGGGTCCCTGAAAAGCATTTACGTTTGAGGGGGCGGGTGAACGAAATGATGCACAACAGAGTTTTATGACAGAGCTCGTGCTATGTTTCTGATTACTGTTCGTTAAAAAGGGGTTACAACATTTGCAGCTAATCATATATTGATTTCAACAAATATTTGAAACATTTCAACATAATTATATACCTTCACATAAAAGATGTTTTTGAAGACATTTCATTTTCGTATTTTTTTCTTTCATTTACAACGGTGAGGCGACTTGCAATCGCACAAAGGGTGGGTTGATGAGGTGGCCTAGTGGTTAATATGAAAACACGTGTCCGCTTTGGTGCAACCGGTTCAACCGATAAAGCCTACCTAATCTATTACTTTAATATTATTATATAGCGAAACTCTCACATAATATATATTAATAATTGCATATATTTGCAAATAAAAATGAACTCATTTTCGATCATTTTAACCATTAACATATGTTTGATCATGCAAAAAGTTGAACATATGCACGTTCAAGAAAGACAAGAAGCTAGTTATCAAGTATTGGATAATTTCTCACAATTTCCGTATCGTCAACATTAGAGATTTTAAATAGGTCAAAGAGGGCTCTACTCAGTAATTTGTGTATACAATCAATAGCATCGTTTATTATATCCAATAGAATCTATAAAATGCTGCAATTTTATATCAGGTATTTCAGTGAGTGAGTTGGGTTTAACGCCGCTTTTAACAGTATTCCAGTTATATCGTGGCATGTCAGCTTAATGTGGGAGGAAAGCCCGAAGTGATGCAGATCTCAGACGTTTACCACTTCGGTGAAACCCACGAGCACGGGTATGGTACTGACCAACCTAGAAACATGATCGGGGCGAACCGGGATTCGAACCCACGATCATAGGTTTCTGGCGTGCCCAAGGAACGCAACTCTGCACAGCGAATCGCGTCGCCTTAGACGACTGGGCCACCCGTGTCCCCGGGGATTGTATTTCAGAATGGGTCATAGCGCGATGCACTGTAATTGTGCTTATGCGGCGTTAAATACCACACACGCAGAGAAAAAAAATTTACTATCTTTTTGAAATTTCCAGTTGCAGCGGCAGATGATCCGTCCATCATGAACAAGTATCGCCTCGGATTTAACGAGTGTTCACTAGAGGTACAGCGCTACCTGACGTCAGTTGAAGACATGAATACTGACGTCAAGACCAAGTTGCTGGATCACATTGCCTGCTACCTGGCCGGAATAGAAACGTCGGATACCGCCAATACTACAGAAACGCCATCACTAACGTCATCACCACCACCACACACACCGTGTTGTAAACAGGAAATACAATCAAGGACAACGTCGCCGCCTAGAGTAAATATGCAGGTGTCTTCAGTTGCTACCGACGTGAACAACAACGCTCCCGCCATGCCGTCATTGGAGTCCATAAAATCAGAAACTATGTTCAGTGGACTTCAGGTTATTCCAACGCAGCTATCATCCGGCGAAATTGCCTTTGTGTTGCCCGCCAATGTATTCAGACAATGTCAGACGCCTAACTATGTGATACCCGTATATGCAGGAACGTCTCCAAAAACGTCTGTATCAGTACCGTCAGTGACAAACGCGACCCATTATTCATCCGAATCTCATCATTCACACGCAGTTCATAGAATGACCAACACACAAACTGTACCTGCCGACAGGAGTTATCTCCCTTGTGCGGCCGTGACCCCTGTCAAGACAATATATGACAAACAAGAGACTGATGATTCTGTGGCCAAGAAGGCAACTATTGGTGTCCATGTGTGTAGAAACTTACCCCAGAACGTTGAACATGTGTGCGACGAGGCAGTCTGGCGACCATGGTAGATAGAAACAACTCCACGAGTTTCCATGTGTTCCATGTTACCGTTGTTTGAAAGGGATACGAGCTAACAAATACCTGTGCAGCAAGCTTCGTGGACAATTTCTGACGCTGTGAACTCACGGTTTTACAACACGTCGTGGCAGGAGTCCACATACAGACCACGTTTATAGCAAAGTTTATTGAAATATGAAAACCAAATTATGTGCTAAAGGACACGTATTGCACTGTTGTACGACATAAATGATTAACAGTTGCACCCGAATAAAGAATATATATGTTTATCGTTGACATTCTTGATTCTTTTTTTAAAGATATTGTTCATTCTGGCTTGGCCTGACGTTATGGTTGAAAATGATCACTAAATATTCGTTCTGGTTCGGGATTAGAACGAATGGAATTACATTAACGAAATAAGACGATTATTGGTCTATAGAGGTGAAATTGGGTTTAACGTCGCGTCCAAGATTATTGCACTTATATAGCGACGTGCATGTACGTGTGTTTGTATGTTTGTGTGGCTGCTTGTACTAGTGCGGACTGATGCCGATTTAAAGTGCTAGCTCACTGAGATACCATGTCGCAGTTTAACATGAATACCCCACTCAGACACAGTATACTGACTCCGAGCCAACCAGTCCTTGTTTTAGCCCCTTAATGCCAAGCGCCAGACAGGGTAACAACAAGTACCATCTTTTAACGTCTTTTGGTATGACGCGGTCGGGGATCGAGCCCCGCTCTCCGGGCGGACGCTCTACCACTAGACCTCGGGGCGGTCGATTATTGGTCTAAGTTCAATGGTGATATTAAATACAACAATGCTAGAGTCATGTCTTGGTCATGTATTTTACACACGTGGGGGTTCCAGGTAAGAATATCGGCCCCTGAAGGCCTGGATCGATGCTCATAATATCAACCACTGGGTCTTCGATTAATTACAGACATAATTAATTGTCATATGGCATGAGTTGTGCTTAGTCTGGCGCTCGATTCCACCGATAGAGCAAGACATATTGATCATTTTCGCAAACAGATCGTTGTATTATGTGCATGCCTCGATTATGTAGAATAATAATATTATTATATATTATATCTTGTGTATTGCTGGGTGAGGAGTTATACATCAGTGTAATACCACTTTAATCAGGCCTAGAGATTACACACAACCAAATGTTTTCCCATAGACTTCTATAGTAACGTTATATTTTTTTTAAAAATAACTAAGCATTCAACAGCTATTACCTGTACGTGTGTGCACAGTTTGGCCTAAGAGCAGCAATAAAAACATAAAAAATGACCAGCTTAGCCAGCTCCTTTTCCGAGTACAGGAGGCTAAACACACCACCCCCAGTTTCGCACCAAATGTCACCTACGTGAAAAAAGCTGTGGTCACATTCAGCATAAGTCACCATGTTGAAAAAGACAGCACTAAATATAGAAAAACATGGTCAGTTTTAATAACTGGATGGATGTACATTTAAAAGACATAAAAAATCTTACAGAATATCCTCCAATCACAGCCTGCAGATATCTCTCGATCTGCACTGAAAACCGCACTGTCCCAAATGGTTCTGATTTGGTGTAGTAGAACCTGTACAAGAGTGTTTTTGTACTACAGCATGAACGCGTTGAATCAAAATGTCGGATATGAAACACCAAACAAATGACCCGGGCAAAAGCTGTGACATGCATTACAATTGTCAACACTCAGTGACGTAGCATCACCACAAATACATGTAACTCTGACTTGTACAATGTCAGCTGACATGCATGCACACATATATGCATGTATCTTCACATAAATCAAACGTCGTTGTGATGTCCCTCTTTTATGTCATTGTTCATTTGGATTTTACTCATTTTATTACATTTTTTTTCAAAAAGGATGTCAAACATCTATGGCGGAATTCTACAATGCAAACCGAGTCAGTTTCTATTTAGGCCCAAACGCGTCTGTGGCGACCACGCCTTGTCCGCGAAGTATGGTAATCTCCTAATTAATCATTTCTGTTTACAACGACACTCTATATGTCGGGAGGATCTCCATCTCAAAGTAAGAACCGCTGGAACAGCATCTGGCCTTGCATAACATTGCCAGGTGAACATTGGGTCGCATCCGTCCAAATGCGACACAGATAAAGTACGTGATCATGAAAACAGATTTTCTCTACGCACCTTTTTGCACTTAACCTGTAAAAGTCATGTTGCTGAATTGTTGAAAACAGTAGATCTTACGTATAATTGTTCATGATGCGACAAGCATCCATACCACTATATCATCAGACGCAGTTGCGTCGTGGGGCGGGCTTTTTATTCATTTAGTCCTTTATTTCATTCACTAAAATAATAGTGGCATGTACGAGAAAAAAACTACTCGAAGTTCGAAAAAATAGCTATCTGTGCGCATTCATTCATTTACAATTTATTGATTGTCCGAATCCTTTAATACGAACCCTTCATACGAACCCCTTCATACGAAACCCTTCATACGAACCCCTTCATACGAAACCCTTCATACGAACCCCTTCATACGAACCCCTTCATACGAGCCCCTTCATACGAACCCCTTAATATGAACCCCTTCATACGAACCCCTTCATACGAGCCCCTTCATACGAACCCCTTAATATGAACCCTTTCATACGAGCCCCTTCATACGAACCCCTTCATACGAATCCCTTCATACGAGCCCCTACATACGAACCCTTTCATACGAGCTCCTTCATACGAACCCCTTCATACGAGCCCCTTCAAACGAGCCCCTTAATATGACCCCCATCATACGAATCCCTTCATACGAGCCCCTTCATACGAGCCCCTTCATATGAACCCCTTCATACGAGCCACTTCATACGAACCCCTTCATACGAACCCCTTCATATGAACCCCTTCATACGAGCCCCTTCATGCGAAAGGCGGGTAAACCAGAGTATGAAACCTGATGTAAGATTAGAAATATCAGTCAAAACTCGTAGGGTAATTTGTACATTCCTACGAACAAATAATTTGTTGGGGGCTAAGTATAGTTTAGACATATATGCATTATGATAATTAGTTGTTCGTGAAGTTCAAACGTCGACCATGACATGCTACATTGGTATGTGCTTTCTCTTGAACACGATGGAGCAAACTAAGATTCTGATAATAGCTATGTACAACCGTATTGCCGTCAAACATTCTAAAACCAAGCCTGCGGGGACCCACCCTTTTGATGTACCCCCACAGGTGTTGGTGTCCCGGGGGCTAGGGCTAATCGCTGACCACACAGCTCCCTTTTCCAGTTCACGACAGTCTGTTTACAGGAAGGGATATTTAGTCAAGTTCATCTTTCAAGTTGTCCCTATATATTGGGGGCAATTCATTTCGGACAGGGTATGTTTAAAGGCGTAAGTCCACCACTGGTCTTTGTCCAGGTATGTTTGAGGTCGCCCCAGATCAATAGGTGTTGCACGGAAGAGGTGATCGTATATCGTCTCCTGATTTGACATATCTCTTCAGCTGTTTGCTCTTCCTATCAGGGCAGCAATGAGTAATGGAGCAATTCAGCGTAAGGCATAGTGGATTCAGCGTATTTGTATTCAATTCAAAGGGGCTTGGAAAACGTCTTGGCGATCAAAGAATAGGCCTTATCCTCATTCATATACAACTGGACACACGCCTACGAGAGCAATGGGGTGGGGTCGGATGTTAAGTATGAAATGTCATATTCTTCATTATGACAAACGTATGAAGTAGGTCAGAAGTGTTTATCAATAACAAACTTCTTATCATAGTCAAGACATAAAAGAGGGTGTGATTATAAAGTAAATATTAAACATAAATTATATGCTTTCACAAATGGTTTATTGTTCACATGGCAAGACGCCACTTTCAGAATGTCATGAAATCTACTTCAGTGCACTGTATAGTTATAGTGTTCTTATTAATATTTAAATGTAATGTTTTTCCAACGACTATGCCTTTATCTGCAAGAACTAGTGAGCAAGCACAAGCACATGTTCCCCGAATTGACTTAGATGATAAACAGAACCGTCAAAACTCGTTCCATAATAGTGAGATATCTCTGCTAATGAAAACAATTGGTTTTAAGCCTCTTCTAGCAATATTCCAGCAATATCACGGCTGGGGACACCAGAGATGGGCTTCACACATTTACCCATGTCGGGAATCGAACCCGGGTCTTCGGCGTGACGAGCGAACGCTTCAACCATAAGGCTACCCGACCGAGTCAATTGTAGGGTTTCAACTTGTGCATGTGCTTATGAATCCTAGCAAGTGCTGATGAAATAAGTTGTGCGCGAAAAGGTGATTCAGAACATATCCTGCCTCATCGGTGGCATCAGCTGCAAACACATGCAACGGCACGTCAAGTGTTCACCTGGAATCAAAACCACGGGAATATATGGTTCAAGCCGTACCAAGGAGCTGCATCAGAATTACGTACTCATTCATTTAAATGGTACGGATAACCAGAAGCTCACATTAAGTTGCAGTGATGCTAATGTTATAATATATACACAAATGTTACAGTATTCGGACACGCGTAGTCTCACCACCACTTAATAGTGATTCATAAACACATGCTCATGATATATTCAGAATTGTAAGTCGACTCTGTTTTCAGGAGAGTTGTATTATGATTGTGGAATGGATTTTATCGCTTTTATTCTTCAGTAGTTGGGTCCGACTGTATGTTAACTAATGACAGTGTCTTCTCGCTGGCTACAGGAAAACATCAAAACAAATGCTATTAATATAATAAGTGTTTTGTATTCACGTAGACATGGCGAATACTGTACGTCCGGAATAAGGTGGTCTTCGATAGGCATTTAGAAGTTAGAAGAACGTGAATACATGACACTTTATTTGGATAGCATGTTATTTTATTCTTTATCCCGACGTTTCCGAGTTACTTCTTGCTCCTCCATCAGATGAATAAGGTTGTCAGGGGATCGGTGTTCACAATACAGTAAACTACGGTTATAACGAACTCAAAAGGACTACTAATTTTAGTTCGTTATAACCGTAATTCGTTATAAGCATATATACAGCGTAACTACAGCATATAATCGGGACTAAAAAGTCAGTTCGTTATATCCGTTAGTTCGTTATAAGCGTGTTCGTTATAGCCGGAGTTTACTGTATCTATATTGGGTAGCCCTTGGCACACACAACCACCTATACATGTAGATGTGAAACACACACGCGACGTGGTTTGCCATGCTATACCTCAACAAGACTGTGTACTATCAACGTCCGATGTCTTATTCTGGGTCATGCCTGA